CAGCTGCTGGGAGTCCCCTTCATGGATTTCCTGAGCTACAAACATGTCTTGGCTGCAAAGAGCCATGCTGCACAAAGTCATATCTCTTCTTGAACCAACCCACCGGGACAAAGGCCAGGCCATTCTGGCCCAACTCAGGACAACGCTGAAAAGACATGCTAACTCCAGAGCTCCCTATGGGTTGGCCAAGGCTATCTTTGGACTTGTATCACAGTTCAACTTCTCCCTCTGCCCACTCTTCTTCTTTTCCCCCACCTTTCATGGGAGATGATCCCAAGGACACTCCCAAATAAATATCCTACACGTTAGACTCCATCTGCTTCCTGGAGAACCCCACCTGTGACAAACTCTGACCCAGCAGTTATTCAACATTATTAATAACATGTGAGCACACTTACATGGGTCAGTAGATATTATACTTTTTGCTCCTGTATTCTACTGAATAAACTATTCAACATTGTGCTCAACCCCTTCATGCTAAATATTTTCACATGAGATTATAGACTCACTGGTAATATTCCCAAGCTATTTTATGTCTTTATGAAATAATAACAAGCTTATCAGTACCAGAGTGCTTCAAACTCTTTGGAATCTAGTTAAGTTCTCATTGTTGGTGAAATTGATCAGGTACCATTTTATATCTATTTTCTTTTCTTTTTAAGTGGCTGAAAAAGAATAGTCCTTTCCGAATGCCTCCTGCAGACTGAAATACTTTTAGGCTTTATCAGCAGAATTGATGAGGCCCTATGAGTAAAGTTCTCACCATAAATGAATTGCAATTAGAAGAACCTAGTGCTGAAGCCCAAGCTGTTTCTGATGTGACATTCCTGGCCTAGAACCATTCTCTTGCCATTAAGAATAGAATCTCCCATCTTAACCTTGGCAGGGACTGCCCAGCCCCCTGACTTGAGGAAAGTAAGACATCTCCATTTTACAAAAAATAATAGCATCCAACACTTAAGCCCTTACTATGGCAGAGGTACTGTGATAAGTGACTTGTGTATATTGACTTCCTTAATCCTCACAACCCTAATGGAAGTACTATTCTTATCACCATTTTTGAGACGGGAAAACCTGAAAGGTTGAGTAATTTGTAAAAAGTCACCCAGTTAGTTGATCATAGAGCTAAGGATTTGAACCAGGGTCCCTGTGATTGGAGACCTTCTGTTCTACATTGCCTCTCAAAAGCATCTGAGGTCCAGGGCTCGATACCTATCCCGGTTGACAGAGTTGAAAAGTGATGAAACTGGGAAGAGGTGATTAAAGGCAGAGTGGATCTTTGGCCATCCCATGCGGTGACTTCTCTTCTAGTGTGTATGGTGATCTTTTTGTGGGTCATGAAATCAATTTAATGGGTCATGAACAACATTCAAAAGAGAGGAGAAAAAGAGGTGGTGGGTAATGACAAAAAGGAAAAGGAAAGAAAGGAAGAGAGAAATGAAGAAAGAAAAGACTGTATCATACTGCACCACATGTAGTCAGAACAGTATTAATCCATGAAATCTTAGATTCCGTTATATATGTGCATGCTGTGTTGTTATGAAAAAAGTATCTTTCTTACTGTAGGTTGTAGTACAAAAAGATGATTGGATCTCATTCAAACTCAATAGTCATCAGGAAAATAAAATTTAAAGTAGTAAGTAGTAAGTAGTAAGGTATGTTTTCAGAGGCAAAATAAAAAACAACCTGGATGCCCGTCAATAAAGAGCAGATTAATAAAGCCAGGCGCGGTGGCTCATGCCTGTAATCCCAGCACTTTGGGAGGCCGAGGCGGGCGAATCACAAGGTCAGGAGTTCAAGACCAGCCTGGCCAACATGGTAAAAACCTGTCTCTACTAAAAATACAAAAAAATTAGCCAGGCATGGTGGCGTGTGCTTACAGTCCCAGCAACTCAGGAAGCTGAGGCAGGAGAATCGCTTGAACCTGGGAGGTGGAGGTTGCAGCGAGCCAAGATCACGCCAGCTTGGGCAACAGAGTGAGACTTCGTCTCAAAAAAAAAAAAGAAAAAAAAAGAGATTAATAAATTATTATATATTCACACTACAGCTATTAAGAATGGTTTAGGTCTATACATATTAAACTAGGGAAATTTTCCATGATTAAGAAAGAAAAGCATACTCCAGATAAATGCATGTGGTATAAACATATTTTCACACAATACATGATGAAATAAAACCCCCAACACAGAGGTAAAGATTTGGGTGGTGGACTGAGTGGAATGGAAGAGGAAAGAGAGAAGTAGAAAGTAAGGAAAAGAATGACAAAGGATTATAGCAAAAATAGGTATGTCCTATATATTATTCAGGGTCTCACGGGAAATGGAGGACATATGCAAACTGTGGAAATTGAGAAGAGTTTAATAAAGTGACTAGTTACAAAGTTGTGGGAAGTGTTTAGGAAAACCAACAGGGGATAATCCCCTGGGTTTATAACAGCAGGGAGCCATTACTACCGCCTGAGGCTGAAGGGGCACATGAAAGTGGTCACCAGAGCCTAGAGTGGCCAGCCATATGCAAAGAGCCTCTAGACAAGTGCTGTGGACTTTGAAGGAGGAGGCCGTCAATCTGCTGTGACTGGCAGGGAGGAAGAAGATTGCTCTCTCCTTTCACCCTCTACTCTCCTGCTGGTGCATCCCACTGGTCAACCCAACTGGAGGCCAGAGGGCTAGGGGACCCACTCATGTGGCCTACAAAGGTCAGCTGCCAAGGACTGGCCTGGGCAGGGTCAGAGCACGGTAAAGGGCTCTGGAGAGCAGTCCTAAAGGGACATAGGGATGCAGTCAATACAGACTACTAGAACATTCAATGAAAAGGTAGAAGAATATAAATCCCATCTACCATGTTTCTATTTGTATGTAAAAATTAAATATTCACATGGATAAGAATGAAAGGGTTATCAGGGCAAATGACAGTACTGATTTGTTTTTGTGATAGTATTTCAGATTTGGGTTAATCCAATCCAGTATCTTCAAAAATAATTATATTTGAAGGACAGTTTTCTTTTTTATTCTTTGCAGCAAGAGACCTGAGTTAAAATTCTGACTCTGCCTTACATTGCTGTTTATCTAACTTCCTCATCTCTAAACTGGGAATAATAAAAGTACCTAAGATTGCTAAGAGGATTAAATAAGCTAAGTGATTTTGAGATCTTAGAACAGTAGTTGGCACACAGTAAATGCTTTAAGTGTTTGCCATTATTTATGGGGACAACAGGACAAGAGCCTCCATGGCCAGGCGTAGTGGCTCACATCTGTAATCCCAGCACTTTGGGAGGCCAAGGCGGGTGGACCACTTGAGGTCGGGAGTTCAAGACCAGCCTGGCCAACATGGTGAAACCCTGTCTCTACCAAAAATACAAAAATTAGCTGGGTGTGGTGGCACATGCCTGTAATCCCAGCTGTTCGGGAGGCTGAGGCAGGAGAATTGTTTGAACCCGGGAGGTGAAGATTGTGGTGAGCTGAGATCGCACCACTGCACTCCAGCCTGGGTGACAGAGTGAGACTCCATCTCCAGTCCACCCACCATCCAGCCAAAGCAAGTTCTGTGTAAAGGGCACTCTTGATCATGTTGCTGTCTTCCTTGAAGTTAGTCAGTGGTCTCCAGACCTCACAGGACAATATTCAAATGTTACCCGTGCAGGTATCTCAGCTTCATCCTTTTCACCTCTTCCCCATGTGCCTTTGCTCTGGCCACACCAGTTCCTCCTGGTTCTGTACAAGTACCATGCTGTCCCATGTCCAGAGAATTCTGTTGGAAATGCTTTTTCCAGACCATGTCACTTTCCTACCTTGCTAACTCTTACTACTCATCATTGAAATTTCAAATGTCACCTCCCCTGAAAATACTTCCTGTTCCCCCCAGTCTGTTTAGAAGCAGCTACCTCCGCATCCCATAGAATCCCATGCAGGCTGTATCACGCCACACTCCAAATCATGAGGGTACCAATTCCCGCATCAGTAGTGGGCCCCTCAAAGGTAGCAATGACAATTTTTGTCTCTGGACCCTAGCCTAGAGCAGAGAACCTGATGAGAGTCGATACTTAATCCTGATTTGTCTGGGGATTACATTCATAAATGAACAAGATAAGTAACTTAACTGACCCAAAGTCATTCAGCTAAGTAGGTGGCAGGGCCAAAATTCAAACCCAGCTCTGTCTGACTCCAAAGGCTACTACTTTCCCCCAACCATCTGGAAGTTCTATGACTGCCCTTGGAGTAGCTGCATGCCTGAGGGAATTCCCAGGGGCACTAGACCAGCTCCAGCCAGAATGAGCTGGTCAGCAGAGACCGGCAGAAATAAATGCCTCCTTTCTGGGAGTATCAACCACATGACATTTGCTTTATCAAGGGACTTTCCCAAGAAAATCAATTTCTGGAGCATGTTAAAATACAAACAAACCACCACCCACCCACCCACTTCTTAAAGACAATTGGTCCAAAGAGATCTTAGAGAATTCAGACAATTCCACAATGTTGAGAGCACCATCTGATCACGTGAACTTTGTTTTCCCTAACCAAGCATTTTTCTATGGAATTTTGATTTTAAATTTGGCTCCACCGTGAAATGTGCATCCCCATATTCTATTGTTTCACCCATGGCAAACCTGGGTGCACAGTCACGGATACCCTAGGGATTCTTGCCATAGGCACCATTTGAGATTTGCTCTTGTGGCTTATGATGATGTTACCAGAATCCCTTGATAACAGTGTTTATATCTATTTATAACTGTAACCTATTATCCTATTTTCCATATAATTGGATGCGACCGAGGTTAAAAAAAAATTCAGCTGCATAAGAAAAGTCATGCTTTTACAGAGCAGATGTTTGCTCAGCATGGAAAGTAAATTAGCCTTTAACACAAATACCCAGAAACACATAAGCACTCTTTCCAAAAGCACTGGTGTTAATATTTTATGATGAAAAATAATTTAAAGATAAAGGATATTAAACATGCAAGGGAAGTAACCATAGATGGTTTTTAAAATAAGTGTTCATTTTACCTCTTTAAGGTATGATGCTGGTTGCAATTCAGGCACTGGATTCTTTCTCCAGTTCAGGGCAGAGAAAAATGACTTATAATCTATTTGTTTTTCACTGTCTTCAAACCTGAAAATATAATTATAATATATAATTTGACTCAATCTGTCGAATTCAAGACCAAAATGTCAGTTTCAATTTTTATCATGAAAACATAAAACCATATATGCTTCAATATCTGAGATTTTTCTTATTTCTTACAATTTCTTATTGCTTCTGACCCTCCAGAATGTAAATTCTTTGAGCAGGGATCTTGCCTATCTAATTCATCAAAATATCCCCAACAACAAGATCAGTGCTGGCACTTAGTAGGTGTTCAATAAATACTTGTTGCAGTTGCCACAGAATCTGCTCATTCAGTGACTAAGACTATAGTGATATTTTGTTAAAAATATTTAAAAGTCCTTTTAGTTTAATGGTTGATATTATATGTCAGCAAAATAGAATGTCCTTATATTTCTTAAATTGTATACCTTTTAAATCTTTAAGGTAAGCTAGATTCATTTGTCTACCGGTATATTTTTTGAAAAAATAAAAGGCATCTTTGTCATGTATTATGTAGCCATTAAAAGGGGTTATTTAGATCCAAATTTGCTATCATATAAATTTGTTCTTGATACACTGTTGAGAAGAAAGGAGGCTGTAGAACAGTATGTAGAGTTATGATCCCACTTTAGGTTTATACTACTATTAAAAAACAGAAAAAGTATGGTAGCAATAGACTTACGTATTAAGAACAGATATCTCTGGGAAGAGAGATTCTGATTTTTGCTTTTTCTTTAGACTTTTGTGTATCATCTGACTTGTTTTAAGTTTATAATCAGAAAAACTTCAGCCCATTTTCATTTTGAAAAAAAATTAACAAATGATTATTCTGTACCATAAAAATACAGGTCAAAAATTACGAATCTCTTTGACTACTATTTCCTAATTATGGACATTGGCTAAAATTCTTCCTTAACCATAATAGAGTTTTGGCCATGAAGATACAGTAATTTCAACACAATTGCTACAATGACCAAAACACAAAATACTTCTTAGTGTAATGCCTCAATGCTACCCATCCTAAATTTGATCATGTTCCGCCAGTTTTTAAGGCTGATTATCATGTAACACCAGTTTTTGAAGGAAAATACAAAGTACAAAGTGGTCACTAGACATTGTTCCAGGCACCCTATTCCAGGCTCCTGCCCTTAAAATATACTCCTAATCAGTCCAAAGATTTTTCTCTTTTCTTCTCAAAGTACTAAAAAATTAATAGCTTATATTTATAAACTAATAAAAATTAGCAGCAATAAATTAAATGTTACAAGCTGAAGTCACATAGCCTCATCAATCTAAACAAAATGGAATAAACAAAGTGACCAGAAGAGGGGAAAGGGGAATTCTGTAATTCTTTTGTGTACATTTTCTTTGGCCAAGGATTCTAAGCTGCAATTCCAATATGCTGCCCCCTACCCACTGTTTACCCTTTAAATTGTGGCTCACTAGTCAGTCCAACTCCTTTAAAGGACATACTCTGTTTATGGAAATATTTATAGCCAAAATGTAGGACCATTATTTCTTTTATTTGTGTATGTTTTGGGGGAAGAATGAAAACTCAGTTAAAGATGTCTCATAATAAACTTTTTTTTTTTTTTTTAGCACAGAGCCTTGAAAGAAAGTATTTCCTAATATTCCGAGTAGGAGCTAAGGTCAAAGAATGAGATCATGTAGGACCTTTGGCTTTTATGCTGGGGAAAACTAAGAGCCACTGGAGCATATTATACAGAAAGGTTATGAGACCTTCAATGTTCTGAATGTCTGTGTCCCCTCAAAATTCATATAATGAGACCGCATCAATGTGATGATATTAGGAGTTGGGGCTTTAGGAAAGGTGATTAGATAGTGAGGGCTCTGCCCTCATGATGAGATTAGTGCCCTTATATTAATTAAAGAGACCCCAGAGAGCACTCTTGCCCCTTCTGCCATGTAATCCTTTAAGGATTCAGAGGGAAGGCATTGTCTATGAACCAGGAAGTGGGCCCTCATCAGCTCCAAATCTGTTGTCATCTTGGTCTTGGGCATCCCAGCCATGAGAGCTCTGAGCAACGAATTTCTGTTGTTCATAAGCCACCTAGTTTATGGTATTGTTGTAGCAATCCGAACAGACTAAGAAGGGACTTGTGATATTTTTAAAAGATCACTCTGACTGATATATTCAGAGTTGAACACACAGGGCAAGGCAGAAGTGGCAAGGACAGTTAGAAGTCCCTTGCAGGGATCCAGATGAGAGAAAATGGCAGTTTAGATGAGGGCAGTGGCACATGGAAGGCAGTGAGGAGTGGGCAATTCTGAATATACTTTGAATGTGGGATTCCTAAAAGACTATATATATATATATATAAAGAGAGAGAGGGAAAAAGAGAGAGTATTCAGGATGACTCCAACGCCTCTGCTTGAATAACTGGAGCAATAGAGCTGCCCTAACTGAGATGAGAAAGACTGCAGGGGCTGCAGGTTGGAAAGATCATGAGCTCAGTTTTGTTTATGCCGCATTTGGATGGAAAGTGAGAAAGTGGGGCTATGAGTCTGAAGCTCAAGGAAGTAGTCCATTTGAAGATATAAATGTGGGAGTCGTTAGCCATATAGAATGTATTTAAAGTCATAAAATTGGGAGACTTGAGGAGATCATCAATAACATAAGTTCTTCTGTCTGTTCTTAAAGTACAGAATTTGTCAGTAAATTCCCATTACAACAATTATAAGAGGCACTTACTCAATCTTAGGGGTTTCAGAAGTATAGTATCCCAGTAATCTGGGAACCAGTCAAAGACTACCAAATAAATCTGGGATCACATCAGACTTCACTCCTCATATACAATCCACTAAGCAGTCCTGTGGGTTCTACCACTGTAGCATATAACAAGTCTATCTATTTCTCTGCATCTCTTTTACCACTCCCTAATTCCAAGCCACTATTGTCTCTCATCTGGATTACAGCAATAACTTCCTGTCTTGGTCTTGCTACTTCTACTCTTACCTTGCTGCAGACCATCCTCCACCACAGTGCTCTTTCTAAAACACAGGTCAGATTAATCACTTTCTTGCTTGCAATCCTCCAGTGGCTTCCCAGTCCACTTAGAATACAAGCTAAACTCCTTATCAGGGTTTATAAGACCCAACTTAATCTGGCTGCTGATGGCCTCTCTGATTACATCTCCTCACTTGAAAACTCTCTCTGTTTACAATGTTTCAGGTAAACTAGCCTTCTTCTAGTTCCCTGATCATGCCAAGATTGCTGGGAGAAATGCAAGGCATTTGCACTTCTGGTCCCTTTGTCTGGAAAGTCCCATTTCAAATGTTGCTTCCTTAGAAAGTCCTCCTGAAGTTCCTCTTATCTGAGTCCCTATGCCTGAATTTGCATTTGCCCTAGATGATGGCACTGGAACTTACTGGAAAATTTCTGGAAGTCACCACAGGAAGTCCTATTATTAGACTTTGTTACCACTAACTCTGATACTTACCTGTTACCTCATAACACCCAGTCTTCCTTCCTGCCCAGTTCATATGTCAGACTCAAAACATTGAACCATTTATCCATTTAGGGGGACATTTGAGAATAATATTTAGGAATCAAATGATATTCAGGAAGGTCCACTGAATAAAAGTATACATAGCTCAGAAATAATGTCTAAATTTTTTTGAGAAAAAATGCTTGAACGAGTTCATCTTTCCAAAATCCCAGAGCCAGGCCTAAAGGAAGAGTTGTGGTAATGTGGTAAAATACTCCAAGCTTTTCTTTTCAGTTCTGTCTTAGAGGATCTCAGTGTGTGTGGGAATCCCCCCAAGAGGCACAAGGGAGAAAAGAACAAAGGATATTTCAATCAAAAGGAATAAAACTAGCTCATGTTTCTTGGAAGACTTCTTTGCTCTTGGGAAGTAGATAGAGTTGCAGTAAATCATGATGAATCAATCACAAATATTTCTCTCCCTTTTCCCCCAAATCCTACCAAAATGACCAAAAAATAATAAAAATAGGTTATAACCCACAATGACAAAGAGAATTGGAAAAAAGACAATGGTAGAGAAGAGACGTCAAACTCTTTTCAAGATGAAAAGTAAACAGAGGATTGGTAAATAACTTGGCAGAGCTGAGGAAGAGAAGCTGAACCCTAAATGTCCCTGTCAGTGGGGAGAGGGCACTCAGAGTCCAGTTGATTTGGCCCACAAAATTCCTGGGAGACTGAGTGACTGCTGACTCCAGGTGCCAATAAAGGGAGGGATACGGTGTGGCACCGAAAACACGGATTGTTTGAAAGCCTGAAGAAAGCGGGTGATGGGTGCAGTGGCTCACGCCTGTAATCCCAGCACTTTGGGAGGCCAAGGCGGGCGGATCACGAGGTCAGGAAATCGAGACCATCCTGGCTAACACGGAGGAAACCCCATCTCTACTAAAAATACAAAAAATTAGCTGGGCGTGGCGGCGGGCGCCTGTAGTCCCAGCTACTCAGGAGGCTGAGGCAGGAGAAGGGCGTGAACCCGGGAGGCGGAGCTTGCAGTGAGCCGAGATCCGGCCACTGCACTCCAGCCTGGGCGACAGAGCGAGACTCCGTCTCAAAAGAAAAAAATAAAAAGCCTGAAGAAAGCAAGAGCAACTGAACCGCCAAGTATCTTCTTCCATACTATGCTCCTCCCTGTAGAGAGCAGAGGCTTGTTCGCCAGAGAAATTCAATGAAAGAAGCTCCAGTTGGGGGAGAGGAGGCAAAATGGATTGCAGAAGACGGGGGCGGTCAGGCGCCTTCCTTCCCCTTTTCTGTTCCTAGAATACCAGTGGCCATGCTTAAACTCTCCCTTTCCCCCATCACACCCTCGCTCCTGTCTTTGCAGGAGAAGGTAGGATTCTTCTTTCCATACTCTGAATGGTTAAAGAGAAATCTCCAGATTCCAGCTTCTAGGGATTCTCTAATAAAATGAAGCCTCAGGAGTTGACTGGGCAGTGAAATCCATTAATCAACAAACCCCTTCCCCCGACCAAAGCATCCAACATTAAAGACAGAGAAGCCAAAACAGCAACAGAAAAACAAACA